TTTTTTTTTGTCTTTTTGTTTTTATTTTAAAGTGCATGCAAAAGAAGTAAAGCCTTTTTTTTTTCCATCTTTTTTTATTGTAAGAAAATACACAGTTTGAAAGTGTGAATAATGCAATATTTATGACCAAGATCATGGGGTTGGGAACAAAGGAAACAAAAATAAAAAAAAGGGGGGGGTTTGCTGAGGATGATCTGACAGTGTTGGACTCCAAGTATGGAACCAGAGAGTTGGGGAAAGGGGGTTTGGAAGTTGGGGGGGAAAGAAGTAAAAAAATTTCTGATCAGAGAAACAGTTAAAATACAATATGAAAATAAGTAAAAGCTCTCCTTAAATTCCTTCTATACACAAAATACACGATTTGACAAAGCCCAATTTGTGCTACTGGGATCCCGTGGGCTCATTTTTTTTTTAAGTGTATTTCCATTCTCTGCGACAGCAGAAAATGATTTATGATACAATCAAGAAGATGCTGAGGAGGGAGGGTCTTATCCCCAACACCTCCCCCCCAGCATGGTTCTTCTAAAAATCACCAGATCTTCTGCCCCACCCCACCCCCAAAAAAAGTAATAATATGTCACCACTGATATGTACAGCACGATTAAGGTTTTTTTGTTTTTTTCTTCCTCTGTAAAATGTATCAAATTTTTATTTTTTTTCAATCTTTAATAAAACATTTTTATTATTTAATTATTCCTGATGAATAAATACCAAAAAAATAAAAAATAAAATAAAATTATGCAGCAGCTAGTTAAGGTAAGGCTGCGGATTTAGTCTCTCTCCCCCTGGGTTTGTATTTTATCCTTTTGATTATTATTATTATTATTATATTAGGTTTTATGTTTATTTTTTGCTTGTACTTTTTCATTGATTGGTGGCAAGAATGAGTGATTGCTGAAAAGCAACAATACATCCACTTCTGTGGTTTTTTTTTTCCTCCCTTCAAATTGTCTCCAAAAGTTTTCACTTGAAACATTTTTGTTTGAAATCATTGCACAGAGACACCAATACTGTGAACATACTTATGGAAAAGACCTCCAGGAGTTGTGTCCTGCACCGGGACGTGAGACAGGGGGAAAGGGGCCCCTGATGGAGTCAGGATAGACAGGCACTGGTCCGACACGATGTCAGTAAGAGAGACAGAAAGAGAGAGAGCACGCCCGGTCACATGGGGAATGTTGGGTTTGCAAGTTTTGTCATTATTTTGTTTGCTTTTTTTGTTTTGTTGTTGGTTTTTTGTGGTTTTTTTTTTTAAATGGCAAAAGGAATCTAATCTCATCTATAGTCCTCCTTGGGATATTCTAACGTGACCAAATTCCCAAAGCCCATTCTCAAGCTCTCCATGTCAAACGTCTCGATCTCTCGCTCCTGCCTTTCCAACAGAAACTTAATCCTCTCGCTGCGTTCCTTCTGGAGGGCAGCAAGTTCCTCTTCAATCTGGAAGAAGCAGAGTCAGCACAGCACAACCACCCCTAAGCCCCCAGTCCAGTGCCACACACCAGGTGTCCCCCCCCACCCCAGGCAGCCCACCCCAAGCTGACCTTTTGCTCAAGGTGTGCCCTGCGCAGCGACACCCGTTGCTCCAGCTTCTGGAGTTCCCTTTCATGCTGTGCTTCTGTCTGCATCTTTATTTTGCTCTGGTAAGCGTTGAGCAGCTCCATCTCCTGCTGGAGCTGCAGTCTCAGGGCTTGGCATTCTGCTTCTTGGGCCTCATCCAGCCTTAGCTGTAAGATGATTGGGAAAGGAACATTCTAGATCCCTGCTAGGAACTTCTCTGCTCTGATGCTGGTGACTGCTCATCCTTCCCAAAGCTGGTGGTGGCAGAATGAGAAAGCATGAAGAGCTTCATAGGGCAAATCCTATGAAGAGAGGCTGAGGAAACTGGGATTGTTTAGTTTGGAGAAGAGGAGGCTGAGGGGAGACCTCATTGCTCCCTACAGCTCCCTGAAAGGAGGCTGTGGTGAGGCAGGCATTGGCCTCTTCTCCCTAGTGAATAATGACAGGACTAGAGGAAAGGTCCTCAAGTTGTGCCAGGGGAGGTTTAGACTGGATATTAGGAAGGGAAGAGCAGTCAAGCAGTGGAACAAGCTGCCCAGGGAGGTGGTGGAGTCACCATCCCTGGAGATGTTAAAGAAATGTGTAGACATGGCACTTCAGGGAATGCTAGAGTGGGTATGGTGGGGTTTTGTGGGGTCTGTAGGGCTTTGATTAGGTGGGTTGTGTTGTTCCCTGCTTCCTCACTCCCACTGAGCCAGCAGCCTCAGGGAAGATCCAGTTCTAAAATCCCAGCAGATGAGGGACAGCAGGGAAAGCTTTGTGTTCTGGGGGCTGCTCCTTGCAACAGGGAAAGTGCCACCCCAGAGACTGCTTTACAACCCTGCCATGAAGCCAACCCATGGCTCACCACCCAGAGGCTCGGGCAGGAGGCACAGAGGGTGCCACCAGGACTGAGAGCCCACCTGTACCCCCCTCCACACTCCCCAGCCAGGGACAGGGGCTCTGGACCCACCGCCTGCGAGGCCATCATCTCGTTGATGCTCTGCTCGTACTGCTCAGCCAGGATGGCGAGCTTCCTCGTCTGCTCGTCCTTCAGACTCTTCAGAATTGTCTTGTGCTCACTCTTTGGAGTTACTTCCAGCTGGTGATTCTTCAGTGCTTTGTACTGCTTAGTTTGCACTTTGCACGTGTCCTGGAACTGCTTTTTGATCTGCATTTCCATGGCCTGCCAAGGAAGGAATGATGTGAAGAGCTTTGGGAACGGAGAGGTTAGAGTAGATCCAAAAGGCTGGGTTGGTGAGAGACAACCAGAGTTCCCCTGTGCTCTGTGCTGTCTCCAGCCAGGAATGGGATCCACTAGGCCCTCTTCAGCCCTGGGCATCTCCATCTCCTACCCCTGCTGCCTGCCTCCCAAAAAGCATTGGCTTTTTCAAGGCCTCCCAAGGCCCTCAGGACCTGCCTCCCCCACCTGACCATGTGCTAGGCAGGGACTGCAGAGCAGGGGAGGGTGTCACACAGGCAATAAAAGCAACAGGCCTTGTTGGAGGTTCAGAGGAGCAGCAACAATCACCCACCCCTGCTCAGAAGTTTCTAATCGACCTGCAGCCAAACTGGGACAGGGCCCAGTGCTCAGCACCCCCTCTTCCCCTCTGGTGCCTTTGGAAGTGAGGAGCCATCACCCAACCCCTTTCCAGATCAAGGTTTAGAGAGGGCCTGAGGAAAGCACAGCTCATCAGAAGCAAACCCTGTAATACTTAGCTAAGGACTTGCCTATTTTTAGCCAGCATCCCCAATTAGCTTAAAGAAAAATAAATCAGTGAGCTCCCTGTTTGAAGAGCCTGCAACTTTCTGTGCCAGAGCAGCCCTGAGCAAAGGGAGGGATCCAGGGAGAGCACAGGGTGCTGGTGGAGAAGGGTGGCTCTGCAGGGAGGAGGCAGGGGGTGGAAGGGGAGGAAGGGAAACTTCCAGCACCTTCAGGTTCTTTGGTTGCTGCCGGAGCTCCATGAAGTGCTTCCTGTGCAGCTCCCGCTCCCGCCGCTTGTTGTACTCCAGCTGGTTCTCCAGCTCGGTCTGGTGCTGCAGCCGGATCAGGTCCATCCGCAGCTTCTGCAGCGTGTGCAGCTGCCGATACTCCAGCTCGCGCGTCGACTCGTCGTGCCGGATCAGCATGGCGTGCTCCATCTCCTTCTGCGTCCGCTTCTTGTTCAGCTCCTGCGCGGGGACACGGGAACTCGTGGAGCCGAGCGTGCTGCTCGCTCCTCTGGGCATCCCGTGTGCCCAGCAGCACCAGGGGAATGCTGACAGAGCAGCCATCCCTGCATCCCTCCCCTCCCTCCACCCTGTAACCCGCTCCTCTTGTAGCTCCTAAAGCACCAGGGAGCCTCCAGCAGGTGGCACTGGGACCACACAAGTGCTCTGACTGCTGAGACTCACTGAAGTTTTTCACAATTCATCCTGGGTCTGAGTTGTTTTCAATTACCCTGAGCCCCCGCTAGACCCTGGGAGATCAGGCACCTCACCTTTCACCAACACTAGGCTGGCCAAAGCAGAGCTGAACAGCCCCAACACCCCACGCCAGGTAACGCAAAGACTTTCATCTGCCACCCTGAACAGGTGGGGTTTGGCCCCAGGCACAGCATGTTTCGTGAGATGATTTTACAGCCCAAGCCTCACATGATCTTGCCACGTGCAGCTCCTGCACATGGTGCCCTGCAGTCTAGGAACCCACAAACCAAGAAAGCACCAGGTAAAACACAGGGCGGTGTTAAGGGTACTGGAAAATCTGATAGTAGCAGATAAAGTACATGATGATTAGAAATTTTTCATCACTCACTCTCTCTCAGCCTTCACTAAAACACCTTCTCATCCAACAGTCTTTATCCAAAAATCACATGAATGAAGAATTCAGAAGCTACAGTGACCACCACAGAAACATGTACAATGATTTCTCCAAGCAGCACGTGGCTGCAGGCAGCCCAAGAGGCAGGGGTCCCTAAGGAATGAGGCAAGCAAGATGCTCAGCAGCTTCTCACCAACAAACTACCTGCCATCCTGTGCTCTGGCTGGAGCAGAGCCCAGTGGAAAAGCAACATCTGAGTATTTGAAGACAACCAGAATGCAGACACAAGGACAGCATTTAATTCTGCAACCTTAATATTGGTCTTTTTAAGGTTATTTACTGGTTTCTTACACATTTCAACTGTGTGATTTTTTTTTGTTAGCCAATGTGGAGAATTCCTTGTGTGGTGCTTCCAGCCACCCCACAGCTCTCCCACAGGTGGTCCTGGCACCCACCATGGCACATCCTGCCCTCTGCTGAGGAAAGCAGCTCAGTGGGATCCCCAAGAAGTAACACCCAGGAGCTCAGATGAAGCACCTGACCCAGAGCAGATGGACCTCCATGTTAAGCCAGCTGTGCCACTCCCTCCTCAGTTAATAAAAGCAGCCACGTCAGTCTGGAAAACTATTCCCCAAAATGAACTTCCTGCATTTTTCTCAGTTCTATTTAGCAGCTGGAACCATGAAGTTCTAACACCAGTCAAACCATTTGATAGAGATGAAGCTAAAAGAAGGAAAGCACAGCCTGGGGAAGGGAGGGGGCAGTGCCTTACCTCCCGGATGTTCTGCTGCTCCATCTCATGCCTCTTGATCATCGTTCTTCTCTTGAAGGAACGGCAGTTTTTGTCGTAGTAGAGTCTCTGCTGGCTGAGAAGATGGGCCTCCTCTTCAGCCTGTGTGTGCTGCAGGTTCTCTTTATGTTTGGATATTCTTTCTTGCTTCTCTTTCTTCGGTGTGCTGTGGTCCTCGTTCATCTCCTACACGCATACGAGGTCAAAACAAAGACTTCCCTTAGGATCACAGGGACACAAGACTTGGAGGACCTTCAGTCACTGGCTACTCTACCACTCACTTCATTAAAGGACAACCAAAATCCCAACTACACCACCAGGTACCACCAGAACCAGACTGGTCACCTGGCCATGCCCAGCCCTCTTGAGCTGTATTAGGACCCAGCAAGAGGAGGAGGAAAAAGCAGCCATTAAACACACACACCTCAGGGGCTGGACAGCAGAGCAATGAACTGACAACAACCCAGCACAGCAGGGGAGGCTCCAGCTGTCCAGGAAATGCTGGATCAAGCTTCCCAGCTCTCATTTACAAAGGAGTCCAGCCTGGGCTTGAGTTTTATTTCCAGAGGACTCGTGCCCCATTCTCTATCGAATCAGGCACCCAACAGGGCTCCTGGCTGTTCATTTTCTCACTTCTACGTTCTTAGCAGCAAGGGATGTGGTGGGGATGCTGTGCTTCAACAATGCAGTTTGGGATAGATAAGCTATATATTAAGTTACTTCTTTTTCAGGTTCATATCAGGCATCACAGGGGTTTCAGTCAAGTGACATCTAAATGGCTGCTCTGATTGTTTACAGCTTTAGCAAAAAAAAACCCAACAGATAAAGAAAAAGGGGAAGATGAATTCTCTATGAAGCCCCATCTCCCCTCATCACCCTTGGTTTGAAAGGTTCTGCTCTACAGCAAATTGTGAAGGCATCTCTAGCACCTATAGAGATTATTCTAGAAGTGCTCCCAGCTCCTGGAAGTTTACTTGCTGAGAATCTGAATTTGCTTCCAGGCATGACAGTATCCCTTAAACCCCTGGGCTGGGCCAGGTTTATCAAAATGAAACTCTAGTCCTGTTCACTCCACACCCCTTCAGCCCTGAGAAGGATGGTTTCTTGCCTCTTTAATCTTCTCCTTGCAAAGCTTGTATTGTTTCTTCTGACTTTCTAAAAAGGTCGCCAGGTCTTTCTTTTGCTGAGCCAAAATCTGTTGCTGGAATTTCTTTTCATCTGCTGCAGCTGCCTTTGCCTGCAAGGCAGAGAGGGGAAAAAGAGAAGAGGAAAAAACCCAAAGGGTGAGGGAGCAGGTACTCAATCCAACACAGACCAGTCTCCTGTTGTGCACTTTTTGTGGTCTGTCATTCTCTGCTCACCATGCAAGCCAAAGCCATGAGTGTTCAGCCACACAAAAGCTGCTTGCACACAACACCCATCATGCCCACGTGCCATTGCCTCATGCTTCTGACCTCTCCAAAAACACCTCAGAGAGTAAAACCCCACTAGTTCACCATAAGGATTAGGATGGTGATTTTTAAACAGGCTGAGAAGCAGCAGCAAGCCTTGCCACTGCCTCAGCCATGAAGAAGCCCTGTCCAAGGTCTTCACAGAGTCTGTTTCTTTTAGCTGGTTGTTGGAAGCTACCATGTTGGTGGACCCAATGGAGCACCCATCATCCAGAAGGCCTTGTAGCAGTGAAGCTATTTCACCAAACTGGCTGTGGCAGCTCCAGACCAAATATTATGACCATACTGCACCCATGCAGTGCACTGAAGAACACGAGTTCCAAGCAATACTTCCACAGCCTCCTCCTAGAGATCTGCTCCACAGCCCTCCCTCCCCTCCTCTTGGCACACCCCTGGGGAACCTAGAGCTCCACTCACCTCTTTCTCCATCACAGCCACTTGCTTCTTGGCCAGCTTCTCCAGCTCGATGGACGAGTTGTTGGCATGTGTCTCCACCTCCTTCTGCAGCTTGAGGCGGTGCTCGTCCATCTCGGCCTTCAGCTTGTTCTCCAGGGCGATCAGCTGCTTCTGGTGCTGGCGCCGCATCCGCTTATATCCTGACATCTGTTCCCGCAACTCGTTCTCCTGCTCATGCTCATGGATCTGTCTTGTAACCTGGTGGCAGGGAACAGGGGAAGAAATGCTACGTGGCCTTCTCCATACACCACCTGTCTCCACCTTCACCCTGCTTTGCTGTGCTCTCAAGACATCAGCTTCCCATGAATGCTGTTCCAGGTTTCAGAGCTGGACACAACTTTTCTCTCTCCTGATTTTTACCCCCCATCTTTAATGAGAATTTTATGTGTGTTTTCAGTGAGACAGCAGAAAATCCTCAGGTTACAAGTAAAGGAAACAGCAGGTCAGTTCTGGAAACAAAGGCAACTGCTGGACAAGCCTCTTCAGGCACAGGACCCAAACCCTGAGGGTGACATGGACTCACAGGATGGCAAACATTTTAAGAAACCCCCAACCCATCCATCCTTTCCTTCCCCCCCCTCAATTTCCAATTCAGTCCTTCAATACCTGCTTCCTGCAATGAGTAGCCTCCTTCAACATTGCTTCTTAAAATTCAAGAGGATGGCAGACTGAGATCATCCTCTCCCAGAACTGGAAGGTTTCTAACAGGGGAACACTGTTCTGGAGCCATGTGCTCTTCTTAACAAGATTGATCAGATGGTCCAAACAGATTTGAAACCCTGCTCAGCTGAAACAAACTCACAAGTTCCAGATTCATTTCCATGCCTAAGTGCATCCATGTGAAAGGAGGGAAAAGAACTCCAGTAAGGTGTGCCAACATTTTTGAGAAGAAAATGCAAATGGTAGTGCTCCCATTTCCAAAGAAAAAAATGTCCAAGACTGGTATTTTTATTTCTCACAGTCCCAGGAATTTAAAGTATCAAGCTGTGGCTGATAATTTACGGCAGACCTGGGAGCCAGAAGCTGGAGCCCTCAGGGATGAAGCAAGAGCTCCAAAATCAACCAGCAAGTTGAACACCACGACTGAGGTGTCACCCAAGGCAGCCAGCAGGGTTGAACCTCAGCTCAAATGACAACCAACACTTGGGAGGGGGGTGAAGAGGACAGGAAGAGCCTCAAACTTCCCTCTCCTTGAAATAGATTAACCACTTCTTACAGGAAAGAGTTACCAAGAAAATTATAGCCAGTGTCCCAGGACAGAAGGAAGGCAAAAGGATGAAGCTTCTGAAGTGAACAGCCTCTGTTTTCCCCTCATCCCCTTCAGATACCCCCCAGGGAGGAAATGAAACATCTGATTGCAAAGAAAGCAGAGAACTGCTCTGACTACAGAGCTGTCCCAAACTCACTGCCACAGAGGGGTGATGGTGGGTTCACCACATCAGGGAAGCCAAACATCGATGTTGGTGCACAAGTCACATCCTCCTTGTACAAGGACTTTCGGGATGTTATTTTCAAGCTGACTAGATTAAATGTACACCTACACCTCAGCAACTGGTGTAACACAAAAGCCTTCAAATGCTTGAGGCTAAGGAATGGAACAGGCCAAGCCAGACCCCAGGAATATGTGAGACGGTAGCAGTGACCACAGACACACACAGTGTTAGTAGCCCTGTAAATTGCTGCAGCTCAAAAAGCTTTTCTTTCCCCCTCCAAGGGCAACAACAGCTGCTGTACCTTCCACAAGGTGGTCAATCTTTGTAGGAACTTGCAAGTTCAGCAAGAACAAGATCTCTGACAGAAGCTTCCAGGTAACCGAAGTTTCTCTGAGAAATCATCCAAGATAATGATAGAAGCAGATGTCAGGTGAGCCAGGCAAAACCTCAGTACTCCAGAGATGCCACTTGCCAGGTTAGATGCAACATGACTTGCAGGGAACAGACGTGCTCAGGGCCTCACAGAGGTGACAACCATGCAGCAGCACAAGATCTTCCTGCTGTGCTATTTTTGAGGTCCTTTCTGTGAACGGTGGGACGTTCCGCACAGCACGATCCGTTCCAAGAAGTTGGCAGAACAAAGCAACCAGCAAGAACAGAAGAAAAAAAATGGATCCAAAAAGCCACTGGAGCAACTTTGCCAGCTCCCTCTTTGGTCTCCTCTCTAAGGAGATTTACAACATGCACTTAATTTACAGCAACAATCATTAAGTTTGTATCCTTATTTTTTTTTTGCTGCTCCTGTGCATCCCACTTTCAGTTTTGCTCTGCTTGTCTCTCTCAGGGCAGGAATTCCATCTCTGAAAGATTTCACACTAGGTCTGGGATATTTATCCCCAACAATAGGATGCAATTCCCAAGCACAGCACTAGCTGTGCAAAAGCCTCCCAGACACAGCAGAAAATGAGACATTAAAAGGTCAGAGGACAACAAAAAGAAGCATTTCACTCCTGAAGACAAGAGCAAAGGAGAATGGTAGGTGGACATTTTGTGGATTTCATGTCTGCATGCACATGCTGAAGACCTCAATTATCCGCATCTCTAATCAAGACCAACATGAATTCTGGGTTTGAAGACAAGGTCTCCAAATGGTGGTATCTCAGAGCATGGATGAAATGGGAAGAAATAAACATTAGGCACTGAAAATGAGGAGTTTAGCCCCAGAAAAGTACTTCAGACTAAGCATGATAATGGATTTAAAGACAAAGGCCGTAATTACTGAACACCTGAGTGACCATTTTAAATAAAATTAGGAAGTTCCAGTGATCACCTTTCTGCTGGCCCTTAGACAAAGGCTCTTGGAATGTTACAAAGTATTTCACCAACAATCTCCTGGATTATGATGGAGGGAAAAAAGAAAACAACTGAACTGCTCATTGCAAGATCTGTTCTCCACATCACCAGAAAATATCAGAATCCTTTAAAGCAGAAAACTGCACTTCCCTGAAGAATTTTGAAGAATTCTTACATTTGAAGAATGTAAGAATCAACCAGGTCATCAAAAGAGCTTTATAAACAGAACAGCTTTTATCAAGGCATGACATTTTCTCAGTTCCTTACCTCTGTCTTTGGCACACACAGAACTGGAGATGCCTTTTCCAACCGCTCCCACAGGCAGTTCATGTGCCCTAAAATCCAGGCTCTCCCTCTTTCACCCTTCCAAGATTTTTGCTTTACCTAAGGAAGTTGGGCTCACAACTTCTCCAAACCAACAGCTTAGAGGTCCTTTTCTAAACTGTTTAACCAAGGTACCAAACACTCTCCTGAAGGACAGTTACTCCCACCTCTTGGTAACTAAAACACTGAGCAAAGACTGGGAAAGACTGGGAATCCTGCTGCATGAGGGAAAGCTGAGAAAAGTGTGGAGAAAAGAAGGCTCAGGGGAGTCCTTATTGCCATCTTCCAGTACTGAAGGCATGTCTACCAAGAAGATGGAGACACCCTTTTTACAAGAAGTCCCATGGAAAAGATGAGGGGCAATGGGTACAAATTACTCCTGGGGTGATCCCTATGGGACATCAGAATCAAAATTTTCACTATGAGAATAGTCAGACAGCAGAATAATCTCCCTAGGGAAGTGGTGGATTTCCCAACATTGGGCACTTTTAAGACTCTAAACCATGTTCCTACCTAGAAAGGTTGGACCAGATGATCCCTGAAGTCCCTTGCCACTTGGCATTCTATGCTTAACCTTTGAACAAGGTATGAAGAGAAGAACTTTTGGGTGAGAGAGAACAAGTTTAGGATTTTTAGAGCAAAGATCTAAACAGGCAGCAGCCAGATGAGTCCATGAGGAGAAACTCAACCACCTGGAAGAAAATGTCATTGCTTCAGCAGCAGCAGAACAGCCACCATGTAAACATTCCTGGTTTTGGAGTCAGATTGCCCTGGTCATTTCAGTGGCCACATCCCAAGCAGACTGTTCACACCTACCTAGATTTAGCTTTGCAGGCCCAGGATGAGATCACAGTTCTTTTGCTGCCATTTGGATTTCAAAGTGAATGCCAAGGCCTTCAGTACAGTTCACACTGTCTGACCTGACTGAAATTTTAACTATTGGATCATTTCACTTGAAGCTGTCAAGGAAATGCAGGAGGCCATGGGGAGCTGAGGGGTCAAGTATGAAAGACATCTCAAAATGCAGATCAGTGCACACATTTTAAAGCCCCTTTCACTTGAGTATGTTGGTAGGTGTAGGGTGTGGTCTTACCAACACACTGAACCTCTACCCTTCTTTCTAAACTCAGCTTTGAGCTTCAAGGCTTGAATTTCTAGTTGTATTTTTTTAATTGATGGATCATTGATAGTCTGCAAAATAATATGGAAGTGTAGTAGGTGCTGATCTCCATTTAGACAAGGAATATGCAGAGTTATTTTCCACCACTGGTCCAAGTGAGTGGTGGTTACTGTTGCCACAAGTGTCATAGGGTGGAAAAAAAAGGGTCTACACAATGGCCAAAGAAAAAAGTGGTCTAGGAAAACTGGACTATTACAAGTGTTGCTTGATCAAAGGTCCTTCAGATTTCCTAACCACATTTGCTCGTTCTTCATTAATTTTTTAACCTGAGTAATATCAAAGCATCAGAAAGATTTATTCACGCCCTGGTTTTGTGGACAGCCCATTTCACTGTGTCATCTGGAAATCTGTCCAGTTTCCTTGTAATTCACATGATGCTTTTAGAGAGCAAGAGGGCAGGGGAATCACTCCTGAAATCACTGGGACATTTGGAGGGTAGAGCTAGATGATGTCCTGTCTGCAACCCCTGCACTTGCTGAAACAACTTGAGCTTGTTCTTGCAAAGAGATCCAGCTTCCAAGCTTCCCTTTCAGAAATGCCAGTCCTTCCTGTCTGCTATATCCTGACCTGAAGATGGCAAAAAAGCACTTGAGAGCCCATGAGCCTAGACTCCACCAGCAGGAACAGCCCCTAGTCCCAGTGCTTTTCCTCTATAATGCTGCCCTCTTCTCATGTTGGGGGACATTCATATAAGACACCTCCTGCTGGACCAGGTTGCTCCAAGCCCCATCCAACCTGTCCATCAACACTTCCAGGGATGGGGCAGCCACAGCTTCTCTGGGCAACCTGTTCCTGTGTCTCACCACCCTCACACTAAAGAATTTCCTCCTGATCTCTAACCTAAATCTCTCTTCTTTCAGTTTAAAATTGTTGCCCTGTGTCCTCTCACTACAAGCCCTTGTCAAAAGCCCCTCCCCAAAACCTTCAGGAGCTCTGTTTCCCATGCAGAGAGGTAGGAACTAGATGTTCTTTAAGGTCCCTCCCAACTAAAACCATTCCATGATTCTATGCTTAAATTTTTCAAGATGCCACCAAAAGGGTAAATGAACACAGAGAGATGAATGGAGTGTGAATTCCTGGTTTCACACTACAAATCTCAGGCCTGTTTAGGTCATTCTCCCCTTATCAGCTCCATGGGCTGACCTTGCCTTAGAGAGGGGAGAAGGGGCAGGCAGAAGTTTTCCCTCAGGCAAAAGAGCAGCAGCCTCCAGCACCAGCACCCCCTGCCATGGCTGGGGACACAGGGACACACAAGTGAGCTGGCAGCCACTTCCAACCTGCACCACCACTGGCATTCCTCATCTTCTGTGCAGGAGGCTTCAACTTGGCTTTTTTTTTAATTCTAGCTTCCCATTTTGGAACATGAAGAGGTTGAAATGAAAGATTATTCAAGGGAAAGCCCCACTGCCAGATTAACTGCAATGAAAGAAAATGTTTCAGTGCTGAAGAGAGGGAAACTTTTCTCCCACCACATAACCTCAGAACCTCAGGACACCTCCTGTAGTACCAAGGTGGAGCTTTGGGAGCTTCCCACTCTATACTGGGAAGGGGATAGAAATGTAGATGATGGGGACAACAAGAGCTTTTGAATGACACATACTACCACGCACTTCTCCAAAAGCCTGCTGGCTAACTGAGCTAAAGGTGGGACTTCCCTTCCCTCCAAAACACACTGTGCTGTGGATCTCCTGCTCACCCTAAGCCCTCCCAGGCACACTCTGTATCAAGGCACATGCCACAGAAAATAAATTAAGAAAAAAGTTATCCACAAAGCCTACCACCTTCCCCACCCAGTATTCATTTTATCTTTATCATCATTTGGTAACTGAAGCAGAGAGATTTAGCAAATCCAAGTGACTGGGGAATTCAGGTAGACTCAGTCCCAGCCCCACAGGAGGCTGTCATGGAATTTAGGAGTGACCTTGGGACATGAGCTGTCTTCCCCAGAGCTTAGAGGGCTGGGAAGACCCTCACTGTCCACACCTTCATGCCCACATCTTCCACCACCTCCCAAGGGGACCTTGCCATGCAGTACCTTCAAGCCAGCCCAGAAATGACATATTCAAGGGAGACAGGAGTTATGGACCCTGCTGCTGAAGGCAGGACAGAAGATGCAGCAGCCTTCCACAGGGAGCAGGAGAACATGAATATATTCAGCACACACATCTATTTATCAATCAAACTATAGACAGTTGGAGTAAGATATTTATTTCATTCATAATTTCTTCCCTCCAGCCATCTAACCTGATGCCACTTGGATTTGCTCAGTGCAGGCAGCAGTGCTGGCACTGTCGTGGGTGCCTGCACACACACAATACATTCAAGAGAGAAAAACTGACAAAGCAGAGGGTCTTCAGGAGACCAGAGACCCTGCCTGTGTCAGCTGTGCTGCAGAAGTCCTCCAATGCCCACATTTCTAGGTCACTCTTTAAACTGGGGAGGAAAGGGGAGTAGGGGACACTGGCCTGGGGAGCACTGGGGCTGTGTCTACCCGGGAGTACACCTGCAAAAGAGGGAACTCAGATATTCCCCCCCAAAATCTCATCCCAGGAAGCATCTGGCCAGAAGTCTGTATGTCACAGCATCATTTTACATTTCAGCAGCAGCCACCAGCACACACACACTCTGCTGCCACTGCTGCTGCTTTTTCCCTCCCCTCCCCACCTTTGGCCGTGGTCACACACACACACGGTTGTGTGTGTAGGATTCAGGGGAATCAAGAAATGGTGGTATTGAAGGCAACCCCCCCGTTTGGACAGGCTACAACCAGAAGGGGAGGGCTCCCTGGTGTCATGTTGGGGTTGGTCTAGGATGATGTCATAGCACTGAGCAAGTGCCATGGCCAAGCACTGGGTACTTCCCAACGCTCCCCAGCCCTCTGACCGCTAACACCGCCCGGCTGAAATATTTAACATCACATTTCTGTTCAGCTTTCAAAGGCCATTTTTCCACTCCTTTCCCTCTTACAAGGTGGCCACCGCCCGCAGCCCGTGCCAGGTGGGGGAGGTGGCAACTAACTCTTCCTGCACACACCCCTTTCTCTACTACAAAGGCATCCACAGCAATCACATTTGCAATAGTACAAACCTTGATGGCTTCATCCCATCCCCCTTCCTCTTTGTAAGCCCACAGCCCCTCTTCCCTTCTTGCAACCCAGCAATATCCTTCCCAGGGATCAAGCTGAAAAATGCAGTCACGGTACCAGCTGCTTGGAATAAATGAATGAATGGGGAAAGGCGGGGGGGGGGAGAGAAGGAAAAAACCCACCCACAAAAAAAATCCCCAGCCAGCAAGCAGCAACCTTATTGTTTCAAACCCCCATCTGCAGCCCCATGGCACTGAAGCACACTGCACACCAACAGATACAGACTTTATGCACATGCAAATAAATATATTCACAGAAAAAATGGAAAAGGGGAAGGGGGGGGGGGGAAGAGAAATCTGAGATGATATTAACTTCACCCAGGGAAGTGGCTTATTTCACATAACACACACAGAAATCCAACACAGTCTGCATTTGACATCTCGCACACACGGAGCTAAAATACCTTGCAGTGCAAGATCTAGTTGCTATACCAACAAAGGGGGGGGGGAAGGGAGGGAAATAATTAGGAGAGAAGGGAAAAAAATTAAATAAATAAAAGAAATAAAATGAATTCCTGAGCCCTTTTGCAGAGGGAAGAGGGGGAGAGGGGGAGGTGGGGTGGGGTGGCTGCTTACCAAAGATGCTGATTTGATTGTGGCAAAGCGCTCTCGGTTCCGGTAGTGGAGGGCCTGATTCTGCACTGACTGGGTAGGCCGCACCTCAGGCCTGCGATCCCTGTGGCCCACCTCATCCCTTATAAATACATGATCCTGCAGAAATGGATGAAAAGAAGGAGAAAGTCCGGCTGCGCTCTCCCCGCGGCGGCTGCCTCTGCCTCACCCCTCTGGCTGCACAGCGGTTGGAGAGGCATAGTTCAGCTCTCTGCTCAGCCCCGGCAGCTCCCACCGAACCAAATGAATAAGCAACACATTGCAGGCTGGGCTCCGGAGCGTGTCAGCTGATCGCCTTCCCAATCCCTGGATGGGCTCTGCTGGGGTTGGTGGTGGGTTTTTATTTCCCCCCCTCCTTGCAGCCTCCAGGATCACATATGTGCGGCGAGAGCGGGGAGCGGGACGCGACGCGGCGCGGTCGGACTCCTCGGAACGGCGGGGGTCCAGCACCGCACGCCAGCCAGCCCCTTGGAAACGTGATTCCCATGCCTAGCAAAGATGCTGCTCTTCCCTTTTAACACCACGGCAACATTTTGCCTCATCCCCTTTTGCCGAGTGGGCTTGTCCTCGATAGGGTTCCTTTGTCTCTCGGCTGCTATCTGCTGTGGAGGACCAGCATCCTGGCTAA